ACTTAGGTATTGACCACAGAGAAATGAAAGCATATGTTTTAAAATAATTGTATACACAAATGTTCATAGTAGATTTATTTGTAACAACCCTAAATAGGGGCTAATGAAAATGTAAATCAATAGGTGAATAAACAAACAAATTGTTTTATCTTTATACTAGAGGCCCAGTGCATGAAATTCGTGCATGGGGAGGGGTTTCCCTTAGCCTGGCCTGCACCCTCTCACAATCCGGGAACACTTGAGCAGGTAGGCAGGCAGAGTGGTTAGGGGCGATCAGGCATGCAGACTCCCTCCTCCCAAGAGTGGATTCTGTGAGGAATGGGGCTCCCTCCTTCCTCTTGTCACGGTCCAGTTTGAAGGCCGGCCACACACCTGAAAGCACGAGACTCAGAGTTCTCCTGCACCCTGGCAGCCAGGGGCCCACAGACCCTTCTTGCCTCCGTGCCTCGGTGGCCCAGGGCTAAAGACACTGCTCACCACCAACGCACCTCGAAGGACCAGGGCTCACAGACCATTCTCACCGCTGCCATGCCCCAGAGGCCCAAAGCCCACAGGCCCTTCCCACCTGCGTGCCTCGTTGGCCAGGAGCCCACTGTTCAGTCATCTGTTCTGGTCGTGATGGCCCTAGGCTATTATTAGTGTAGATGATGGAATACTTACTACTCAGCAACAAAATGGAATTAAACGTTGCTACTCATGAGACCATGGAAGAATTTCAAAATAATTATGCTGAGAGAAAGAAGCCAGACAGAAGAGTACAAATAATTCCATTTATACAAAATTATAAAATATGCAAACTAAACTGTGAAAGAGATGTTGCCTGAAAACAGGAATAGGTAGTGGTAGCAAGGTTGAGGGAAGGATTACAAAGAGACATGGGGAAACTTTGGGGGAGATGCGTATGTACATTATCTTGATTGTGGTAATGGATCCACAAGTATCTAGAAATGAATAATCTTATAAAATTGTTTACATTAAATAGTTGCAATTTGTTTTTATGAAAATCATGCATTTAAAAAGCCATTAAAACAAAAATGTAACATATATCTCCCCTTAATAATGTTTAACTTTTCTTGTGTGACACCAAATGCAAAATAAATCTCTTATAGGTTCTCATTTGCTTTAAAATATGTTTTTTAAAGTATACATAACAACTTTCTATACCCATATGCTGTGCTGTTTTTTTCAACCCAACATCTTCTCAACTTATTTTGTTTTTCTCCTTGTATATTGGAATAGAAGTTTATGCCTGCTTTTTCAAATTCCTTTCAATGAATTTTGTGGCAGGTTCTGACATTATATCTTAGAAGGTGGAGAAAAATTTATGTATCTGGGTCTGAATTTCTTTTTAAAAATTGATTTATTGATTAATGATTGATGTGTGTGTGTGTGTGTGTGTGTGTGTGTGTGTGTGTGTGAGAGAGAGAGAGAGAGAGAGAGAGAGAAAGAGAGAGAGATCAATTTGATTTTCCACTAATTTATGCATTTATTGGTTAATACTTGTATGTGCCTTGACAAGGATGGGATCTGCAACCATATTTTATCAGGAGGATGCTCTAACCAACTGATTACCAGGCAGGGATGGGCCTGAATTGCTTAAGTCCACATCTGGGAGACTAGTCACATGTTCACTCAGACGACTCATGAAGTCCCTTGATCTGAATCTGTGTAGAGAGAATTCCAGGAAACAGCTTGAACTAAGCTTCCATCTACATGTCTACAGATAAAAGTTTGCAGGGCTTTGCAGAAGGTGTGGCTTTCTCTAGAACTTTTTCCTAATAACCCTCAGAGGTTTTTTGTTTTGTTTTATAAAATGAACGGTCATAAATAGAGAACTAAAACAGTGCTTGCTTTTGCTGCTATCAAAATAAAAATGACTAGTTTATTTATTTGTTTAAAATATGTTTTTATTGATTTCAGAGAGAGGAAGAGAGAAGGAGAAATAGAAACATCTATGAAGGAAAAGTATTGATTGACTGCCTCCTGCATGCCTCCTACTGGGGACAAAGACTGAAACCTGGGCATGTGTCCTGACTGGAGATTGAACCTCCTGGTGCATGGGGCAAGGCTAAACCAACTGAGCCACACTGGCCGGGCAAAAATGACTAGTTTTAAAAAACTCGTGTAGTCATAGGGCCATTACCCCATGCTGATCCCAGAGCTTTCTCTGGTCTTTGAGAACCACCTTGGTCTAGGACAGTTACCACAAATGAAATCTTATAAATAGGTATCAGGCTGGCTGCAACAAAACCACCCACGGGAGCTTTAAAATGTTCATATTGGTGGGTCTCAGTCCTGGAAATGTTTCATGAAGTTTGTGTTGAGATCCCAGAATCTGTCATTTTAAATCACTCACACATTGATTCTATTATCAGCTGTTGGATGAATATCAGCTGGTATATCTCCCACAATTTGATAGCTGATGAAGAAGAGAGTTCTAACTCATGCTACAGACTATTGATACAAATCCTCAGCTCCTGGTCTATCTGTGTGCGAACATTATTTGATTAAAGTGCAAGTCCACAGAATGTGGCAGATAGATGGTTGTAAAAAGCATTTTTAAAATTTTATTTTATTTTTTATTGTTGACAGTATTACAGATATCCTCCAATTCCCACCCTCCTTAGTCCCCCTCCTCTGAGCCCCCGCCTCACCCCAGGCCTTCCCCACACTATTGTCTGTGTCTGTTGGTTATGCATAGATGTACAAAAGTTCTTTGGTTATTCTCTTCCCATCTCCCTGCCCCCCAACCCTTCTCAGAGATATGTCAGCCTGTTCCATGAATCCAAGTTTCTGGGCCTGTTTTGTTAGTCATTTTATTATGCTCAGTAGACTCCACATATAAGTGAGATCATGTGATATTAGTCTTTCTCTGACTGGCTTATTTCATTCAGCATAATATTCACCAGCTCCATCCATGCTGTCACAAAAGGTCAAAATCCTTTTTTTATAGCCCCATAGTATTCCATGGTGTAAATGTATCACAACTTTTTTTATCTACTCATCCATTGATGGGCACTTAGGCTGTTTCCAGATTTTAGCTATTGTAAATAATGCTACTATGAACATAGGGGTGCATATATTCTTTCTGATTGGTGTTTCTGTTTTCTTAGATTATATTCCCAGAAGTGGGATCCTTGGTCAAATGGCAGTTCCATTTTTAATTTTTTGAGGCAACTCCATACTGTTTTCCACAGTGGCTGCACCAGTCTGCATTCCCACCAGCAGTGCACTAGGGTTTCCTTTTTCCTCCATCCTCATCAGCACTTGTTTGTTTGTTGATTTATTGATGGTAGCCATTCTGGCAGGTGTGAGGTGATACCTCATAGTAGTTTTAATTTACATCTCTTTGATGATTAGTGACTTTGAGCATTTTCCCCCTATGTCTATTGGTCATCTGTATGTCTTCTTTGAAGAAGTATGTATTCAGGTCTGTTGCACATTTTTTAATTGGATTGTTTTTCTTTTGTTAAGGTGTATGAGTTCAAAGTTGGAGGGATCACAATTCTGGATATCAAATTATACTACAAAGCTTTTGTAATCAAAACAGCCTGGTACTGGCACTAGAACAGGCATATAAACCAATGGGACAGAACGGGGACCCCAATAGACCCAAGCTTTTGTAATCAAAACAGCCTGGTACTGGCACTAGAACAGGCATATAAACCAATGGGACAGAACGGGGACCCCAGAAATAGACCCACACCAATATGATCAATTAATATTTGTCAAAGGAGGCAAGAGCATATAATAAAGACAGTCTCCTCAATAAATGGTGTTGGGATAATTGGACAGGTACATGCAAAAAACAAAAAAATGAAAATAGATCACCAACTTAATTATACACAAGAATAAACTCAAAATGGATAAAAGACTTAAATGTAAGACACAGAACCATAACAATCCTAGAAGTAAACATAGGCAGTAAAACTGCAGACATCTCACATAGCAGAAATTTTGTCGATGCATCTCCTAGGGTAAGAGAAACAAAGGGAAAAATAAATAAACGGGGCTACATCAAGTTAAAAAGCTTCTGCACGGCAAAAGAAACCACCCTCAAAATGCAAAGGGAACCCAGTGTAGGGGAAAACGTATTCACCAAGGTTACACCTGATAAGGGGTTAATTTCCAAAGTAGAAAGCCTTTTTTATGCTAGATCTGCATTAAGACTATAGGATTTGTACTTCTCGCCTGACTCACATTGCTTAGTTATCTTATTTTGGAATGAGCAAAACAGTAGGAGATTAAGATATTGATCTGAGATCACTCTTTATTGATGATCTAACTTTAATGATGATGTTTCTTCTGTCTAGGATTCATACTTAAAAAATGATTCTGAAATTCATTTGATTTTTTTCTCCTGAAATTTTTTATTAAAAAGAAAGCATATCTTACAATTGTTTATATTTTAAGACTGAGGAAATATTGTATGTGATGTAGTAGTGAATTTTCAATGAAAGACTGCTTATTTCAGTTCAATTTAGCAAATATTTAGTAGGCACGTAATAAATGTCAGTCATTGTTCTATATTGGAGTACAGTACTGAAAAGTGAAGACTCACTCAATAAAGACTTTGTATTACTTCCTCCGATTTCAACCCCAAATCCTTTCTGATTCAGTGGATTCTAGGCAGGCCCACACAGGTACATGAGAATATATAGTACTGTATTAAAATGCTAAAAAAAATTTGCTATATTCCAACTACAGGAATACCCTGCATGCTCTGTTAAAGTACTTGCATGTCAGGTATTGTCTTAAGAACAAAGAAAGACCTGAGAGCTTCGGATAGTCATTGTTTAGATTTCTAAACGCAGCTGAGAACTGACATGTGCCTCAGTGTCACAGATGCCAGCTGTGGTATTCAGTTGGTAACCTAAGAAACATTTCAATCCCTGTCCACCAGGGGGTGCAGCTTCCCAACACAAACACATTTCCTGTGTGAAATACAGGCTTACTGGTATATTTATCATTTCACTGTGACTTCAGCATTTCTTCATGTTAAGAGTCAAGAACATTATTTAGATGATACTGTAGAGATGAACTCTTCTCTGGGCTTAGTGACTGTGGTACTCTTAGTGCTTGGTAAGTAACACTCCTCTTAAAATATGGACTATTTCTTCTATTATGTCAGCAAATTCTTTAACTTTAATTTTGTTGAAGAGCTTCATGCCCAAGGTGACAGAGTTCTCTTTTATTTTTCCTCAGGACAAACCCATGGAGACTCGGTGACCCAGACAAAAGGCCAAGTGACTCTCTCAGAAGGGGCTCCCCTGACTGTGAATTGCTCCTATGAGACCATACTGTTCCCTGCTCTTTTCTGGTATGTTCAGTATCCTGGAGAAGGTCCACAGCTCCTCCTGAAAGCCACAAGGGTCAACGAGAGTGGAAGCAGCAAAGGATTTGTAGCCACATACCAAAAACAACCAAATGCCTTCCACTTGGAGAAAGCCTCAGTCCACCAGTCAGATTCTGCAATGTACTACTGTG